AAGCTACCACTGTTGAGAATCATCAACTTAAGTTCCAAAATAATAAAAATGTCAAAAACAAAATAATCTAATCACCCAATTTTGATCGAGGCCAGAAAACTTTAGTGGCATTAAAGAAAAAAAAAAGTGTCATGACCATATCCTAGGCTAACAAGTTAAGCTCTAATTATCCTACTCTTTTTTTATATTTGTTATCAAAAGTTGCAGACAAAAGAACTGATGCCAATCAAATATTACCTACAACAACAATACACAATTCCTTATCATTATTGTAGAAATCTAGGAGGATCTACCTCCTTTCCATGATGGGCCCAGACCGACCATCCAAGGAGGAATGAATGGATTAATTGGAGACAATTTGGGAAACTCCTCGATTAGTTTTTTATTCCCTTCCTATTTACAATTATTTCATTTCCATGTTTAGCTAGATATATTTGATAAGATTGTAAATTGGGAGAGACCTATTTTCCTATATATGTAACCTTATGGTTAAATATTGTAATAAAAATTAAGTAAATATTCCCTCCAACGTTTTTCTATATGGTATCAGAGCTTCATCTCCATCGTTGAAATTGTTCATTGGAATCAGTTGAATCAAGCATTTGTATCATGCGTCTGTATCATCTAGATCGCTTATTCGTTCATAGGCATTGTCTGTGACGTTCGAACCGTGCAACTGCAACACTCATCTGCCTCATTTGAAATGCTTGTCAGCTTTGTCTGTGTTGCATTCATCCTGCAACACAATTAAGGCATCGTGCATTGCCCGACTTCGTTTGTGTCGCTGTGATCATCCCGTTTGTCTGCATTGTTATGTTACAGTAAGAAGCAAGGAAACAAAACATAGCTCTCTTTCAACCTGCAAGCTCTCCTCTGCTCTCTCCTACAGCCGTTAGAGCCTCTCCAGCGACAGTCCAAAACTGGAATCATCCCTGCAGCTAGCTAAGGTTCATGACCAAGTACGAAACGAAGACATCTAGTTCTACTCTGGATGTTAGTTTTGAATCAGAGACTCGAAAGTCTATCCTAACAGCCTCTGAACTATCTTTCTTCATCACAAACTATAAACTCAATTGGCATAACTTCCTTCAATGATCCCAATTTATATTTATGTACATTTGTGAAAAGGGAAAAGATGAACATCTCACAGGAGAGAACATAATTCCTGAGCTCACTATTCCTAACCATCGCACATGAAAAATTCAAGATTATATGGTTATGTCTTGGCTATTCAACCCAATGACCACTGAAGTAGGAGAAAATTTCTAGCTCTAAAGAACAACCAAAGAAATATGGGAGGTTGCAAGAGAAACTTATTCCAACGCTGAGAATATTAGAATTGTTTGAGAATGAAACCAAACTACATAACCTCCGTCAAGGAGAACTAAGTGTTACCCAATAATTCAATACCTTGTTGAGGTATTAGCTACAATTTGATAGGTTTGAGACATATATGTGGGAATGTCTACATGATGTCGTGGTGCATAAAACCATCATCAAGATGAATAAAACTATCAAATTCCTAGTGGGACAAAGGAACTAAATGAAAGTGAGAGCGAGAATCATGGGAATAAAGATTGTTTTATCGACCCGTGAGCTTTTGCTGAAGTTAGAAGAGAAGAGAGTAGAAAAAGGCTTATGATGACTGGAAATGGGAGTTCACCAAGTGTCGAAAGCTCAGCTCAGTACTCTCATAATTCTTCTCATTACTCAAAGTTCAAGAAGAAGCGTCCCACATGTGACTATTACAAGAAAATTGGGCACCTCAAAGACAAATGTTGGAAACTCCATGGAATGTCTGCAGATTGAAAATCTAAACATGGAAGGAAAGATAATGAGAGCAAGGTTAATGTTGCTACCACATCTTAAGTGTCAGCTAATCCATTCACCAACGAACAGTTTGAAGTACCGAAAAAATCCCTCGAGAGTAATTCATAATATCATTTCAGCCTCATAACACATCAAGGTAATATATCATTCTCCCATCTTGCTAGTAAAGAAATATTTAGACCTTGGATCATAGATTTATGAGCTTCTGATCAAATGACTAGAGACATCAATGCTCGAGTCAACTATCAAGAGGCTTAAACATTTAGATTTGTCAGACTTGTTGATGGATCACACTTAAAAAATATTGAAAAATGAGTTGTGGAGTTCTCTTGGTATATCACTCTTTCCTCTATTTTATATGTTCCACAGTTTGACTATAATTTAATTTCAATAAGTAAGCTTAATCATGATATGAAATATATAACTTAATCTTTTGTAAATTATTGTGAAGTTAAAATGATGAATTCAGGGAAGGTTATTGACAGCGATGAAATGCATAAATAGTCCCACCTCCATTATTTTCTCAAGTCTTTGAATCTGTTATGAAAGTCTTTATCTTAAAAGCATAAGTGGTCCTATCTCCATTATTTTCTCAAGTCTCTGAATCTGTTAAGTCTCTGTCTAATGGAAAAAAAATAATGTTATAGCATTGTCGCCCAAGTCATCCTATTTTCAATTATGTTGTAAAGTTGTCATCCCCATTTGTTTATCAAAAAAAATATTTAATATTTATCAATGTGAGATTTATCAACTTGTCAAACTCACTAGAAATATTTATCTCATGACCCAGTACAAACCCTAACATTATTTTTTAATTATCCATAGATTATATTTGGGGACCTTCAAAAATAAGAACCCTAAATGGGGTTAGATAATTTGCCTCATTCATTGACTATCTTACTAGAACCATGTGGATAATTCTAATAAAGAAGAAATTTGAAACGACTCGAATCTTCAAAACCTTCCATGACATGATTCAAACTCAAGTTTAATACAAAATTCAAATCATGAAAACTAATAATGCAAAGAAATATTTCAACTCCATCCTTGAATCCAATCTTTTAAAAAATAGAATCATTAATATGAGTTCATATATTGATGCCTCACAACAAAATGACATAGCTAAGAGAAAAAACATACATCTTCTTGAGAGATCCCACTCAATTATGATATCTCATCAAGTTCAAAAATATTTTTGTTGGGAAGCAGTTCTTACTGCAACATACCTTATCAATTGAATGCTTAACCAGAAACTTAATTTCAAAACACCATTTCATGTCTTAATGGATAATTATCCCCACATCAGAACTTTCTCTTCTACTATACTACTTAAATTTTTTTGGCGTGTATGTTGTGTTCACATCTATTTCCCAAACCGCACAAAATTTGACCCCAAATCCATCAAGTATATTTTCCTTGGGCATGCCTCCAACAAAATGGTTATAAGTGTTACTCACATATTACCATAAAATACTACAACTTTATGAATGTCACATTTTTTTAAAAATCAATCATACTATCTCAAATCTAATGTTTAAAGGGGGACTGCAAATGAACATCAATTTTGGGATACACTTAATGAAACCTACACTGCCTCACAACATACCCCTCTTCCAGCTAATTCTTTTATCTTTCAAACACCACTGCATGAAAATATCCAACAAACCCAACCTGAAGTTCATAACAAAAAAATTTGTGTTGACAGAAAAAGGAAGAAAAATCTTGAGCAGGTGCATAACAACTTACAAAACAGAATTGCTCAAGCCAAAAATCGAGTCCACACTCACCTAAAATTTTAGGTGAGGAGTCTAGACTTAAGAGTTATCACCTTCCTCTATTAATTCTGATGACAAGAAAGTTGTACTAAATATCCAATTCAGAAGTATGTTGCTTATGGGAAGCAATCTCATCATATAAAGTTTTTACTTAATAATATGTAGATTCTTAAAGTCATTCATGAAACTCTTAAAAATTCAGAAAAAAGAAAACAGTTGAAAACGAGATTCAAGCACTAAAGCATAATAGCACATGAATTATTACTAAACTTCTCAAGATATGAGGCCGGTTGGATGCAAATGGGTATTCAACATCAAGTACGAAGTTGATCGTGGTCACTCTATTCTATGGGATTGACAATCGAGAAACATTTACACTAATTTCAAAACTGAATACCATCAGATTACTCCAGTAGAAACTAATAAAGAATGAAGACAACATCAACTTGACATAAAAATATTTTCCCGAATAGGGATCTTGAAGAAGAGACGTACATAGACATAACACAAGGACTTGAGAATGATTTAAGACAACACCTAGTATGCAATCTCAAGAATTCTTTTTATGGCCTTAAGTAATCACCAAGCATATGGTTTGAAAGGTTTGCTAAAACTATGATATCTAATAGATATTATCAAATGTCAGGTTGATCATACATTGTTCATAAAATACACTCATGAAGATAAGATTGTTGCACTGATAGTATAAGTGAATAACATAATTCTTACTGGTGATGATGAAAGCGAAATTCTTAAAATCAAAGAGCTGTTTTTCACTGAGTCTGAAATCAAGAACCTAGATACCATGATTCCCAACAAAAAGTCAAAGGAGGGATGGATGGATTAATTGGAGAAAATTTGGGAAACTTCTTGATTAGTATTTTATTCTCTTCCTATTTCTGCTTATTTTAGAATTATTTATATTTCATGTTTAGGCTAGATATGTTGGGTAAGATTGTAAATTAGGAGAAACCTATTTCCCTATATATATGAGCCTTATGGTTGAATATTTATAATAAAAATTAATTGAATATTCTCTCCTACTTTTTTCCTCATTTATATCTCTGATTCTATCACTTAACAACTATTTCTTCCTCAAATACCTCTGTCTCTTGCCATTCTAATCCTTCACTTCAATTTCATAACTTTTCCCTGAGAGATTAAGGACTTCTGCATTCCAACAAACACTGATAAAGCACTTTTAACGACTTTCAAACACCAATTAAAACAAAAAAAAAAAAAAAAAAAAAAAAAACTTTGCAGAATGATTCAATGGATGGCAATAAAATGAAGCTATTTATCATAAATATGATGAATATACTCCATATTTTTAAAATCAAATACCTAACCTACCCTTAAAAAAATTAGGGATAATATCACTCGATTACCTCAACTGCCTCAGCAAATGTTTAATAAGAAAAAGAATTGAATGCCTGACCAGGCCTCCTAAGAACGAGTAAAACCACTACCTGGACAAATTACAATAACGTATAGAATTACATGTGAAAAGAATAAGCGTGATATTAACCCCAGCACCATATACAGGCCTCTAGCTAATAAGGTCCAGAAGATCCTAATCATACAAGGAAACTCAGATTCATGAAATCCATAAGTTGACATATCTAGGAGAACAACTTGAACTCTTTTAATTTTCCTCAACGGTCAACAGCAGAGGAGATTGGTTACAGGAAAAAATCATGCAACCATTAATGTAGGTTTCTGCAGTCTTTCAGTAATAGCTTCTTATGCTTTGTAATTGGCTGGCTCTTTCTCTAGGCTATACTCCTAATAGATCAATTATCATCATCAATTCTCAAAAATACTAACAAATCAATAATTAAGAGAAAAAAAAACATGCCAAGGTGAATTGAACTCAATAAAACAAGTAGAAAGAAAAGAGAAAAACATATAACGTACAGTTAAAAGAAATACCTGCCCAGTTGCCTTTTTACCTTAAAGGATCCCAAAAGAGAAGCTGAAACGACTGAATTTTTCCTGCAGATTGTACATCACACAGATGTAAAATAAATTTGGTCAATTTTGTATTCAACGCCAAAATTATATATTTACATAAATAACATCCTAGTGCTTCTATTTACCCGAATCTAACAGAGCACAATAAAACTACCAACTTTTGTACTTAATGATTTGATAGTGTTATGCAAGCAAATACTCAACTGCAGTGATTCATTTTAAAAGCTTAGGTGTTAGTTTTGTAAATAAAGAATAGCTTGGTAGTATAGAAGTAAATCTCCCAATATTTTTAAAACTCACTTAATGCTCTCCACATCAGTGAGATCCTTTAACTACAGTAAAGCTTAACTCTTGGACAATGAGGCAAATTTTGATGTCACACAAAGTTTTATGAGGCACTTCAAAATGTGTTCTTGATGAATGAGACTTCAGCCGTTGCAAATGATGTTAAAGTAGTAACCCTACCAAATGATAAGAATTAGATGCCATACAAGACAAAATGCTGCAATGAACCTATTTGTAAATGGAAGCAGCCACAAAAATCTCATCTACTAAGCAAATAAATTAATAATTTTGGACTATGTATAAAGTTACTAATGAGCAGGACACCTTTCCATTTCGTCCAGGCAGCTATCCAGGAATCCAAACAGCTTCCATTTGAAATCCAGGAGATAACATTTCTATCTGCAGCCCTTCACCCTCTCCACTTTGGGGCAGAATAGGATCTCATTTCAAAGCACAACACCCATCACGGTTATCACCGCTAAAGCCTATATCAAGAAAAGACTCCTGTTCTATACCTTCTCCACATCTTCTTGAACTGCCACATTTTATAAATGAGAAACGCCGCAAAGTTCACTTGCAGAACGAAGATTTTTACCGAGATTTAGCTTTGCCGGTGGAGGCGGTCGCGGTGACTATGGGGGAAGATGACTGCGACGGGAAGAGAGAAGCGAAGATGCGGGCGCCGGGAAGAGAGAGGCGGCGGGGAAAGCTTCCAGTCGCCCGTCGCAGCCCGAGAGTGAGGGGACGTACGATACGAAATCGGGCTTTCGGGACATGAAACTTGGAAGGAGGGGGAATGGGGGACGACACGGGGATGCGAAAGTAATGGATATAATTATCGTTGGAGATCGGTGATTCATTGAGGAGCTAGGTTGAAGATTTCGAGTGAACAGCCCGCCACATCGAGCCGTCTCCGGCGGGTAAGAAGCCACATGTAAAGAAAAATAGTGAAGTGATGGAAAGGATTTATGCTCCTCCGACCATGATCTTGCTCTCGAGCATGATTTTGTTTCAGACTAGAATAACATGGGGAGAAGGAATCGAAGCCTACCGCGATCCCATCCGGACTCCGGACGTGGGCGCCAATTGTTTAAGTCTGACCACTCTAATATATGAGAATTGATTAAAATTTGTGAGGCTAGACACATGGTGCCCCCACATGCAACTAAAATTCTGACCTAATTATTTTTCAATCGAAGAAAAGAAAGAGATCACATCGGGGAGAATCGGTTGTTAAAATAGTTTTTTTTGTTCAGCAGCAGTGTGTTCGGCGAACACGAATAAATTTTTAAGTTCGAGTAACACGAACACGACGGCTGTTCGGCTCGTTACAACCCTAATTACAACCCTATTGGTGTCCCGAACTGCCACTCATATTTTTGTTGGTCATCGGTTCTCTTTGTGATTTGTGCATACACATTTTTTATGTACACTATCACCTATCCCTTATTCACATTTGTAAAGTGTGTCGTACAACCGATTTGATTTTTTTGATTTACAAATTACTTAAAAACTTATTGTGATCCAGCTAAGTTTAAAAAAAACACTTGGTGAATCTTGCTTGTATCTAAACACAAGTAACAACTCTAACATACATATTTTTAATGACTCGATCATATAAACAATATCAACACATTTCTTTTCTAGAACCCTCCAAAGTATTTCTGTTGGACTTTTATTATAATCTTTTTCTAAATCAATAACAATAATATGTAGATTTCTCTTATTCTCTTTATATTTTAACAATAATATGTAGATTTCTCTTATTCTCTTTATACTTTTTCATCAAACTTCTCAATAAATGTATAGCATCTATAATACATTTGCCCATTTTTATATGTTCATCAAACTTCTCAATAAATGTATAGCTTCTATAATACATTTGCCCATTTTTATATGACGTCCTAACCTATGTTCAATTACTCTCCCAGGATTTTAAAGTTTGACACATTAACTCAATTCCTCTATAATTTGCACACTTTTAGGCCTACCTTTTTTTTTCTTAAAAATAAGACCAATAAACTCTTTCTTCACCCCCGTCAAACATCTTTTTAGTTTTCAAAGTAATATCCAATAGAAAATGTCAATGAGTATCATGTTAAAATTCTACATAAATTTATAAACTAAGCCTAATCATTTCACGTGAAACAACATCAAATTGGCCTACATCTATATTAAATTATAATAATAACTAGAAGCAATTGTACATTAATTGCACAAAATAAATAAACTCGACTTAAATTTATTTTAATAGCTTATTCATTAAAATTATATTTAAATTTATTGATTGTCCTAAGATCAGCTATTGAAGAAGGGCTAATGCTAAGATATATATGTTTGTGGTAGAGAAAGTAGTTTTCCAAGTTGTTGAGAAGCATCAAGCCACTATTAGGAGTGTCAATGGTCATACAAGAGACATATTCTTGATATTAGATTTTAACAACGAGTAGTTGCAACTGCATTTGCAACAAACTTTGGAAAATGTGTTTGGTGAAAAGCTTCTTTGAGGGATTTGGAGATACTAAGATCAATGATGAAATAAAATAAAGCGTCAATATATATCTTTTTTCTTGAGATTAGGGTTTGAAAGTTTCTTCTTTTTTATTTTAATTGTATACATGAATGGCATTTCAGGCAACACATGCATGCCAATGTTCTAGTTGCGTAAGACACCACATACCCCATTGTAATGTTAGTGCTTTAGAATACTGTTTAGTGTTTTAGATGTTCTAGTTATGTTGTACACTTCTAGTGGTGTAAAAATTTGATCAACACGTTAACTCAAATTATAAAAATTTGAGTTTGAGTTGATCTGACTAATGTCTAGGTTAGATTTAGATTGAATCCTAACAAATTCAATTTTTTTTTGGTCGGGTTCAGGTTGCCCATCAAGTCAAAATTGACCTGCCAATTCAAATTTGACTTAAAATTAACTTGAATAGTTGTCATATACATGTTCAACATGCTATATAAGCCAGGTTCGATTTAGACTTTCCGACTTGTTAATATTCATGTTGGGTTCTAGCCAAGCAGTTTCAAGTCGGGTCAATTTTAGATTTGACTCGAAAGTGATTTGTGAATTTGGTTTGACGCCCACACTTGTATGAATCATTGATAGTAGATTATGGGTGTGTTTGGGGCGACAGTGTGGTGGCAGTGCAGTGTTGCATCATAGTTTTTCATGTTAAAAAAATCGTGTTTTATTTGAGTTCTCAAAAAACTGTAGTTGAAAGCTGCATTTTCCCATCAGACTTAACTACTTGCAGTGGCTGCTAGAAAGCTACTATCTAATTTCTTCAATTTTTTTTTTTTTTTTGTAATAGTCACCACAGCTTTTTAAATAACAATTTTTTTTTTCAGCAGCTTCACAGTTGCTTCTTGAAAAAGTTACAGTTGTCTCAAACCTATATCCACCCAACTTCATTTGGTTGTAGGTTTATTTTGGTTAAAATATTTGAATCTTACTGTTAAACCTCCTCAAACCTATATCCACCCAACTTCATTTGGTTGTATGTTAAACCTAGTTAAAATATTTGAATCTTACTGTTAAACCTCGTTTCATCAATAAATTGAGATTGGGGGCTGAGAAATAAAGAGAGTGTGTGTGTGTTGTATTGGTTTTTCTAATAGCTATCCCGACGGAAAAACTTATTCAGACATAAAGTCTATAAAAATTACTTCCTCATCCTGGGCACGACGATGGTAAGTTAGTCATTTTACATCTCATTCATACATCAAGTCTTTGAATACTACTTTTGAATTGAGGGGGCAACCTTCATCACAGAGAGCGCTTCCTCAACACTTTATCACCCTGTCGGTCAAAATTTTGGCCATGGATTGCATTTTAATTTTGAAAAGTAATTTTAATATATATATATATATATATATATATATATATATATATATATCTATATATATATATATCTATTATCTATATATATATATTTTGTCTAATAACAGTTTTTCTTGGTTGATTTGAGAGGATCTAATGAAGAGTGAAGAGGATCAATTGGAGAGAGGATTGACTAAAGGACCGTATAACTCTTAAACTTGAGTATTCCTCTCATCCAATACTAAATTGATAGTTCAACCTCCATATCAGAGCTCAAATCATGACTGGCAAAATCCAGCGTCCGATTCTTCGGCGATGGCTCTTTCGATTAGACACATGAGCTCAGAGAATGGCCAAAATGGCGTGATGGTTTTGAAATCTGTTGCTCGTAAATCCATGTATTATTTCAGAAAAATAACCTCTAGGTATAGAGGTGTCACAAGATGCTAAATTTGAAAAAAGAAAAAAAAAATCATCTTTATTTATAATTATATGAAATTTGATTTTTTTTCTTTGACACTATTTATTTATTTATTTGGGATTGTAGGCATCGATGGACTTGAAGATATGGAGCCAATTTATGAGATAATTAATAGTTGCAGGAAAGAAGGGCAGGCAGGGAAGGGTAGGGAAGGTGGATTAAATAATTTGAAATCTTGCTGCTTCTATTTTTATATCAGTTATTTAAACCAGCTGCTTCATATATTTATGAAAATAGCTTTCTAACTTGATTTTTTCTTTGGTTGGATTTTATTTGTGCTTTGAAGCATTAATCGGCCAGTTTACTTGGGTAAGCTGCAGTTCTTGCTATTATTAAAAAATAGGGGAATTTGCATTCATACCACTCAGTTCCTATGCATTTATACATTTAACACTTAAAACTTCAATTTTTTCATGCATATCACCTTGCCTATTCATGAAAAGTTAAAAAAAAATTTGGTTATAATACATAAGAATTGGGTGGTAGTATGTAAATTCCACAAACAAATAACGTACTTTTTTATGTGAATTAAATTTATTAAAATATGTGAATAATATTTCATTATGGCTTACTTTAGGAGGGTATGAGAAGGAAGAAAAGGCAGCAACAGCATGTGATCTAGCCGCGCTCAAGTATTGGGGCTCTACGACAGATAAATTTTCCAGCAAGTGTGATTATTTTACACTTATCTGTTTGGAGCAGCTTATCCTACAACGCGGCCCGCGGGTCGGTCAGCGGCATGCGTTTAGTATAAAAAACTCAAACGCGGCAGACAGTTTTATAACAAACGCGCAAACCAAACGTCGAGGCGGCGTAGAGACAACGTTTTCAAAAATACGCAAATCAAACGGTTAGTCGGTGTTTTTGAAAATGTCGCCGCACTTATAAGCTGCCCCAAACAGGTAAGACTTCCTATTTACACTTTAATAAATTTTTATTTTCAAATTAAATTTAAATTTTGTTTTTGGCCCTTTTTTATTATTTGCATGAAGCTGAGCTCTTATGAAAGAGAGATGGAAGGGATGAAGAACATGACAAAGCAGGAATTTGTTGCCCTCTTAGGGTAGGGCAGCTGCAGCTTATTGATTAATCTATTGATAAGCTGATTAAAATAATATGTTGATAAGCTAGATGCGGTGGCTATTGCAAATTTTTATTTTTTTAGAAAAGTCAGACTACTATCCAGAAAGCTGTCACCACACCTAGATAGGTGCGGTATGAAAACACTGTTTTAAGTGTTTTTAAAACGCATAAGCTGTCAAAACGCAGTTTACCCAAATAGGTCAGGTGCGTTTTCAAAACGTCACCGCACCAAATAAGCTACCCCAAACGGGCCCTTAAGGAGG